CACATACACAGAAAATACTACTTCACATCAGGAAAAGGGCACTTGCTGTTCTTGCAGAGGACTAGGCTTACAACCACGCCAACTTCAGCTCCAGGGAACACAGCACCCTCTGCTGGACTCTCTGAGCATCCAAGAGCACACACATACACATAATAATAATAATAATAAACCTATAAAAAAAGATACATGAACTCTCCCATTATATAGTTTAATTTTGTAACGAAATGCTCAGCCTTGTGCTCTAGGAAGACTATTTTGGGTTTAGATAGGAAAGTGAAAATGAATTTGGTGACGTGGTGAGGGGCCCTGTACAATCATGAAGGCACTGGGGCTAACTAAAGCTTCCCACATTATTATAATGTAGTTAATAATGTAGTTCCCGGCTCCTCAGAAAAACAAGTGTAACTGGCCAATTGTATCAGACTCTGAGCATGCCCTAAGGAAGTTCCAACACTGGCCAAGTGCCTTCCAAGCACACTTTTCTCCCAGTCTTGAGGCCGGAAGTTTGAAATCTAGGTGTGGTTACTATTGCTATTGCTATGATGAAGCATGATGGCCAAAGCCACTTGGGAAGGAGGAAAGGGCTTATTTGACTCACACGTCCATGTCACTGCTCATCACTGTAGGAAGTCAGGCCAGGAACTCAGACAGGAGCTGATGCAGAGGCCATGGAGGGGCGCTGCTTGCAAGCTTGCTCTTCATGGCTTGCTCAATCTGCTTCCTTAAGGACACGGAAACACCAGCCCAGGGTGGCCTCACCCACTACGGGTTGGGCTCTCCCATATCAGCCACTAAGGACCCTCCATCTAGCTTGGCTACAGTCTGATCTTAGGGAGGCATTTTCTCAATTATGGCTTCCTCCTCACTGATGACTCTATACATTTGGTCAGCATAATACTTCTTTTTCCTCCCCTTGAAAAATCTCCAGGCTTGATTTCCACAATGTATTAATTTGTACCATTACCAGCACCAATACAGATTCTGCTCTCTCCACATCCTCTCCAACATTTGTTATCAGATTTATTGATGATAGCCATTCTGACTGGGGTAAGGTGACATCTCAAAGTGGTTTTAGTTGACATTTCCCCGATGGCTAGAGTTATAGAAAACTTTTAAAAATAGCTACTGGCGATTTGTGTTTCTTGTTTGAAAAGCATCTATTCAATTTACTCGCTTATTTGTTAGCTGGCAGTTTCATTTCCTTGGTGTTAACTGCTGCACCCCTTTGTAAATTCTGGGTATCGGCCTCCTGTCTGGAGGGGAGGTGGTAAGGATCTTCTCCCCTGTTGTGGGCTGTCTGTGTGCCCTGCTCAGTGTGTCCTTTGCTGAACAGAAATTTGATTGTCATGTAGTCCTCTCTGCAGATATTTGGAGCTAGTTCCAGTGCTGTTGTTCCCCTATTGAAAAGGTCTTATCCACCTCCAATATCTTGAGGGGAATTCTCTGTTTTCTTCTAGAAGTTGCAGTGTTTCAGGCTTTAATTAAGGTATTTGTCCCATTTTTTAATTTTTATTTTTTGTATAAGGTGAAAATCTTAATCTAATTTTATTCTTCTGCAGCTATTCAATTTTGCCAGCACCATTTGTTGCATAGGTTTTTGTTCAATGTATGTTTTTGATTCCTTTGTCAAAAATTGAGTGAGCATAGCTTTGCTTTATTCCCAGGTCCTCTATTCTTTCCCATTGTTCTCCCTGTCATTTTTATGCCAGTGCCAGGCTGCCTTTACCTTTGTATCTCTACAGCATAATTTGGGGTCAGGTATTGCCAAGTCCCCAGCAGGGGTCTGACTCCCCAGAATTGCTTTGGCTATTAGTTATTTGTGTGTCTGTGCTTCCAAAATGAATGATTATATTGTTTTTCCCTCAAACCTGTGAAATATGATATCAGACTTTTGATAGTATAGCATTAAATCTGTAAATTAATATTGGTAGTACAGCCATTTTCACAATATTAACTCTGCCAGTCCAGGAGCATGGAATGTCTTTCCATTATCTAGTATCTTCTGTAATTTCCTTTTTCAATATTTTTTAAAGATTTATTTATTATGTATACAGTGTTCTGCCTGTATGTATGCCTGCAGGCCAGAAGAGGGCACCAGATCTCACTACAGATGGTTGTGAGCCACCATGGTTGCTGTGAATTGAATTTAGAACCCCTGGAAAAGCATCCAGTGCTCTTAACCTCTGAGCCATCTTTCCAGCCCCCCTTTTTAAAGATTTTGAAGGCGTTTTTGTTTTATAGGTCCCTCATTTCTTTGGTTATATTCCTAAACACTTAACTGGGAGGCTGATTATTTTGAATGGAATATCTCCCCTAATTTCTCGCTCTAAGAGTGCAATGATGCTATAATTGAAGGCTTATTTTTTTTTGTTTGTAAACACTGATTTGGTATATGGCAACTTTACTGTATTTGCTAGGCTCAAGAGTTTCTAGCAGACTCAATAAGCTCTTTTAAATAATCATGCCACCGGGCGGTGGGGGCGCACACCTTTAATCCCAGCACTCAGGAGGCAGAGGCAGGCGGATCTCTGTGAGTTCGAAGCCGGGCTGAACCAACAGCTTCCAAAACAATACAGAGAAACCCTGTCTCGTAAAACCAAATAAATAAATAAATAAATAAATAAATAATCATGTCATCTGTAAATAGGGATAGTTTGACTTCTTCCTTTTGTAATTTTTATCCCTTTTATACCCCTTTTCTAATTTTTACCCCTTTTATACCCCTTTTCTTGTCTAATTGTTACAGCTAAGACTTTTTGAGTACTATGAATAAGTGGGGAGTATGGGCATCCTTGTCTTATTCCTGGTTTTAGAGAAAATACTTTTTGTCTCATTTAATATACTATATGGCTATAGGTTTATTGTACATAACTTTTATTATTTTAAGGCTTGTTCTGCCTATTCCTAAAGTCTCCAGAACTTTGATGACATACCTGTTTTCTAACCTCCTTCTCTCCCAAGGATGCCCTTTGTCTTGTTAGGGCTTCTACTGCTGCAATGAATCACTTCCACACTGTATCCATCACTGAAGGAAGACAGGAAACAGGTGTGGAACCTGGAGTCAGGAGCTGGCGCAGAGACCACGGTAGGGTGCTACCTACTCTCTTGCTCCGCATGGCTTGCTCAGCCTGCTTTCTTACGGAACCCAGGACCACCAGCCCAGGGATTGTTCTGTCCACAACGGACTGCCCCACCCCATCAGTCAATCACTAATCAAGAAAATGTCTACAGCCAGACCTGATGGGCACTTTTTCCTAATTGAGAGTCCCTCCTCTCAGATGACTTTAGCCTGTGCCAAGGTGATATGACTATCCAGCAAACCCTTTTTAGTAACTTCAGGCCCCTCGATGATCTCATGTTAACTGCCTCTTTAAAAACCCTTCTTCAAAATGCTATCTGCCAAAATGTACCAGATTGTGGAAAAATTTATGTCAAGAATTAAAACAAAAACAAGCAATCAGCCAGCAATTCGTTACAGCTGGAAATAACAAGCGAGGCAGACATATCTGGAAGACAGCTGACAAGCCCTGCTCACTACCACCCAGGTGACCTGCATACATGTTCCAGGCTACATTCTCTGAGAAAGACTTCACTAGAACTGCCTTGGTAACTCACTAAACAATCAAACAACAGCCAAAAGATGCAGGGGGTGGGGGCTACAAGGGGACTCAATCTCTAGAGTTTCAGTCCCCCAAATCCTCGTTTTCAATAGGAAATTTTGAGTTATGCAAAGACAGGAAAATATAAGCCATATACGAAGGAGGCAAAGGGCAGGCAGCAGAAACTACCCGTGAGAAGGCCAGGATTTAATAAAGCCTTCCATTACAATGTGAGAGGAAATACAGGGAATCGTGCTTAAAGAGTTAAAATAAGTTAATCACAAAGGAGAACATAACGCATGGTTCAAATGAGATAAGAGATTCAGTGTGTAAAGCTGCCACGGCAGAAAGTAGGTGAGGTTTGCCTGGGGTCAGGGTGAGAAGACAGTGGGTGGGCAGAAAAGGCTGCTTATGGATGTGGGGTTTCTTTGTAGAGAGGTGGCGGTGCTCTAAATTTGGCTGTGGTTAGTATACTAAGAACTGCTGTATCGTAAGTGGAAATGGTACGACGTGTGAACTATATCATTTTAAAAAACGAGCACTATGGACTCCAGAAAAAAGACAATGGTCTGTCAATACCCTAACAATAGAAGGAAGAGATGGATTTCGGGCCAGTCCAACAGGTGGTTGCTAAATTAGCGGGGCTAATTTGGTTTGATTATCTCGAATTGAATAGCATTTCCTTAAGAGCTTTTACAGCAAGCAGCACATTTCGGTCAGAGATCCTTGCCCTGCACCTAATTAAACCGATGTCAGGAAAACAAAACACAAAACAAAATCATGTCCTCAGCGGAACAAACCTAACCTGAGACGGATGGTCCAGGCACACTACCACAGTGAAGCTGTGTTGCTTAAACTATTGCCATAATAAGTAGCTGCTGCCTAGAACCATTTATTCCACTCCATGCCAGGCAACCTGGAGCTGCTGCAGCCATCTTGGCTTCTTCTGCGAACGCCTACCTTTCTTCTAAAGAGCAAACCTCCGCATCACCCCGAAGCTGATTAGTACATGGCATAGTGGGCCACCAGAGCATTGCAGGAGCAGTGCGACCTACATTCGTTCTAACTGGTGAGATACATATATTTGAAAGGGGAAGGTCCGGAGAAAGCAGGCATGGTGACCCTCCCAGCCAGGGGTGGGCACGACGTCCTGATCCCTCCGCTCGCTCGTCCCCTCCGGCGCTTTTCCGAGGGCCACAAGCCGCAGTCACCGCTGCGGTCCTGCGCACTGGCGCAGACGCACTTCCCTCTTTCCCCCTCCGCCTCCCGCCGAAGGACAGGGCCCGGCCATGCGCACTGAGTAGCTGGAGGGAGGCTCGCGCGCTTCGCAGGCTCTTTGTGCGCATGAGCGGAGCGGCCGCCAGAGCGGAAGTGGAGCTGCGGCGGAGAGGTGGGGCGGGCGGGCGAGCGGGCGCGCGCGCCGAGGCTGTGCGAGCGGCTGACATGGCGCACTTGGGGCGTCTCCTGGTTCCCCTGGCAGCCCTGGTCCTGCTGCTCTGGGCGGTCCCTGGGGCCCACGGGCGGCGGAGCAACGTGCGCGTCCTCACCGATGAGAACTGGACCTCGCTGCTGGAAGGAGAGTGGATGATCGAATTGTAAGCGCCAGGCGGCTGTCTGGGTGTCTGGTGGTGGCCTCGGCCGCCCGCCTCCCTCGAGCTGGACACCTGACTAGCCCGCCTTCTTCGGGCAGGTCTCGGAGTCCCAGCCTTTGCCAACCCCAGCTCCAGGGTCGTTTCTTACCCGGGAACATTAGTTGTCTGTCTAAACGTGCACCCGAGCTTCGTCGTTGCTAGGCAGTGTGGTGCGATTAAAGGATTACATGCCACATCGAATTCTCTAGAACAGCCTAGCGGGTTTGAGGGTGGGAGTGGGTGGGGTGCAGGTCTTGACTGGTTCCGTAGACTATTTTAGTGATCTTTTATAGACATTAGCATTTAAAACTCCAAATTTTACAGAAGATGATATTGAACAAAATCTCGCTTTAAGGCTGTCAAAGGGAATCGTTGTATTTATTTGTAATGTTTGAGTTTGGAGCTGTTTATTTTTTTTATTTTGTGGGTTAGCTTTTTATTGTAAATGCAGAATAAATTGAACTTTATTTTTAAAATCTTTATTTCCTTCCCCCCCTCCTTTTTAGTTTGAATTTCATTTTTCTTCTGGGCGGGATCTTTTGCAGTTTAGAAACTGGCTTGAATTGTGACTTGTAGGCCTTTGTAAAGTGATATTGCGTATGCTCCAGTGTGATTGTTAATAGGTCAGTTCATCATTTATTATTCGAACAAAATCACGTGTCTTGTGTGATGATTCTGCTTCAGTAATGTCCGTTCTGCTGCTGTAGGACATAAGCTGCCTTCGGCCTTTGTTTTAGATGATAAACTGATGGTATGGTTAACTGATAGATGACATTGCTGACGTTGGCAAAAGCACCATTAGTGACTACTAACTGTTTACTGGGCACTACTAAGTATCTTTACATACGTGTTTGTAATTAATCTACACATTCCGTGGAGCGGTCACACCCCCTCCCACCCTTTACAGAAAAACTGATTGGTCTGTTCGGATGTTGCTGTAGTGTCTTTGTTGGACCTCGAGTAAAGACGCAGGCACTGCTGTGAGCAACCCTTTAGCAAGATTCTGGTGCGTTCCTGTATTGTGATTATATTTAGGGCTGCTCGAGAAGAAAAACGTGTAAAAAAATAAAGGTGGAAGTGGCCAAACTGGGTAGATCAGGAACACCCGAGTCACAGAACAAAAGGACGTCTAAAACGTTTTTGTGGAGGGTGAGAGAGGGAAAACGATCAGCAGACTGATAGTCTGTTCCTCACTGAAGTGAATTTTCAGGAGAGGAACTATACTGGTGGTGGTTGTTCTGAGTTGTTGTCATAAATAACTTAGATTGTGCCCGTAAGCTGTATAGTGTTAAAGCAGTAGTTTAAAATTTACATATGAAATATATACTTAAGTATTACCTATAAATACTTTGTCACACTGTAAATGTAATATCCAGAAAGGGCACGAAGGGGAACAAAACTAGCATGATATTGGATATGAGATAAAACATGGATCTGGAATTACAGGATCTAATGCTTCCCTTTCTCCTTGCCTGAAATTGGGCTTTATAGAAGCTCTTTAAAAGCATTAAGCAGCAGCACACTTAAAAAGAAGGGTCCAGGCAGTGGTCACAACTGTCTGTGTTTAATAGCTTTACCATAGAGATGCTTTCATTGTAATTTTACTGGTAAAGAGTTTGACTTTTGTATGTAACACCAACTGGTTTGTCTTGTTTTATATGCCTGTCTTAGAAGCTTGGTTTTCCTAAAACAGTTGGTGAAATCACAGAAGTGTTTTAGTAGGTGTAGGCTTCATTTTTCCTAGGTATGTAAGGTGAAGCAGATTACAAAATGCAGTGAAGTGGAAAATAAAATCCTGAGGAAAAAGTTGGACCAGGGAAGATAGTGAGTTTCAGAGACGTGATCAGCGTGCCAGTGCCCTTGGCCATTGTATTTGTAAGCTCAGGGTCTTTAGACTCAGGCTGACATATTTCTGGCCAGCAGAGTTTTGTCTGCCCTGCTGAGTGTTTGTGTGAGGGTTGGGTTTGGAGTAATAAATGTACATAAGAACCGAAGGTCTCTAGCTTAGTTTATTATGAATAATCTGCCTTCCTGGGGCAATTCCCGGGGTAATCCTTCCCAGTCGATTGTTCACCCGGTTGCAATACACACAGCCCAGGTGCTTCCTAGTTTTTCCAATACCTTGCTCTTTGACCCTATCTGTAAAATTACTGAACTTAGTGACCTAAAAAAAGAAACAAACAAAAATACCTTAAACTTTCTGGTTGGGATGAGCCACCCGCATGGGTCATTTTCTGTATTATAGGTAGAAACATTCTTCAAGAATTATGCTTCAGTGTTCTTCACAGGTATGCCATTAAGTACTTAACTTTTCAGTCTTTGACCGTATCTTGCAGTTACGCTCCCTGGTGCCCAGCTTGTCAGAACCTTCAGCCAGAATGGGAGAGTTTTGCTGAATGGGGAGAAGATCTGGAGGTTAAAGTTGCGAAGGTGGATGTCACAGAGCAGACAGGTACTCTAAGTGTGGCTAGTGCTGTTTCTTTGCCTGTAGAGTACTCAGTGTGATACATTTCCCACTCCAGCAACAACAAAACTGCCTTTGTTCTTGAATGACAGATGCATTTTGGTTTGAGACCTTAAGATGGCTTTTTTCAGAACTTGGCTGGTGACAGCTAGTGAGTCACACTGGGTACAAATAATTCCTCAGGTATTTAACTGCTCACAAGTAACCACAGTTGAGGCTTCACAAACCTTTAAGTTGACTCATGTACACTGATATATCTTTAAAGTTGTTGTAACAACTAATTCATATTTTCATTGTTGATTACAAAGCTCACCTTTAGGTGTTTTCCTGTTCTTGTCAGCATTTAAATAATTTAGAGTCAACTTTTCAGTAAGCAACTGTCCCTAACAAAAATCTGTCGTGTGTTCTTTGTCATTTGTAGGACTGAGTGGACGCTTTATCATAACTGCCCTTCCTTCTATTTATCAGTGAGTATTTGGAGGTTCTTGGTCTTGGAGAGGAATGTATCATTAGTGTGATAAGAGCAGGAGGCCTCTGACGTGGATTATGTGTGAGGAGCTGAGGTAATCTCATTATATTCAGCAAGGACTTCACAGAGCTGGTTTTAATGGGGCCCTAAGTATTAATAGACAGTAAATAACTGATACCTAAAACACTCTCCGTTCTCGAAGGTTTGTAATTCTCATGAAATAGTGTGTTGGGTCCTCTTCAGTGTAGCCAGTAACTGAGCCCAGAGTCGTAATGAGTCATGTAGGAAGTGTGTAGGAAACTGGGTGACAGAGAGAAGCCACAGTTGGCCAGAGCAGTTCCTGGATAACATGGGGATTAAATTAAAAACTGGGAGTGGAATTTTCAAGAATACAGAAGTATTCTTTTCTGAGTAATGTCAAGCAGGAGGAACACGGTCTGTTAAAGCGACTGTTGGGTGGGGCAAACACTAAGTGGTTGTTCGAGTTAGAATGAGCAAGTCTTGGCTCTCCACTTTGATTTTATTTCCCAAACTAACCTGCAGAGAGGCAATCTCTAGTCTGTTTACTTGACCTGTACCTCAGTGTGATTAGCTGGTGGCCAAATACCAGGAAGTACTTATTTTCCTCATTTAAACTTATATTAACAAACTAAATCTTCCCTTTTCCCCCAATCTTTTTTTTTTAGCTTAGAAAATCCTCATCCCTACTTTGTATATAAAAATCAATGAGATTGACAGTTCTTAGCCAAATTAGCTAAGAGACAGATAGAAAATCCAAACTAATAAGACTAGAGGTGAAAGGTCTCCTTACCATCAAGTAAAGTGGGGCACTATTGACCCTTACAGATGTGGGAGCTGAGAGAGTTCTCTTGTTACACAATGCTAGATGTTGAGAGCGAGAGGGTAGACAGAGGGAAGAGTGCCGACTTGACCCGTCACAACTGCTGTACCAGATGCCTACAGCAGCTGATTAAATTAGGATTCAAGGAACTAGAGAGCTACCTCAGAATTGTAAAGTTTAAAAACTTGATCTTGTATATCAAGCGCTATTCTAGTAACTTCCTATAGTAATTCCTTTAACACATGTATTATACATAAGGCTTAAAGGGGGGGTTTCTACTTGCAGTGTTTCATGATTTTTTTATTTGAAAGAATAAAATCTTAAAACTTATCTTTTTCTATGTTTGGGGCTATGATACCATCAGTATGTAACATGTTTTGGTGTTTTGCTAGTGTTTTTGAAGGTTAGGACTGACTAACCTTCAAAATGAAGAAATGGCAAGACAGTTATTTCTCGCTGCCAGTTAATATTTAGTTCTGGTCTTTAGTTGTAAAGATGGTGAATTTAGGCGTTACCTGGGCCCAAGGACTAAGAAGGACTTCATAAACTTCATAAGTGAAAAGGAATGGAAGAATGTTGAACCTGTCTCCTCATGGTTTGGCCCAAGTTCTGTTCTGTAAGTATGAGGACTTCCTTACTTCACAAGTAATTGCAGATAATTGTATTTTATGTGAGTAAAGCATACATAAACCCTCTTATGGTTTATTCAAGTACATGTTTACTATGACCTTTAAAACAGATAGATACCTTTGTTCTTGTGAGCTGAGATTAGGTATTTTGTAGGATTGCATTGAATGCCCCTTTCAGAGTATTTCAGCTTTGATTTGGTTGTATCTATCCTTTAGAAACTGAATGGCTTAATGGGTAAGGCTATTGCATGATCATAATTTTAATGGGAGCAAGAGTGCTCAGACACGTACTTCACTGTTAATGTGAAGAGACTGGGTGGTTATTCCTGATAACGTGTATGAATAATGTGTCTAATCAATGAATAATGATGTGAGCTTGTACATTGCTAGGATTTAGGTACATTCACCATAGCAGTTAGGATTGGAAGTGGCAAGCATGTTTCCTGCTGCACTGGGGAGACTTGGCAGTGTGGGCTTTACGGAGGTTATCTTGGTGTGACTGAATTACTCCTATCCTTCCCCACACTTGCCATGGGGATTTGGGATACGAACTGTAAGAACACAGTGCTGCAGTGGATTCTGGGACTAGGGAAGAAATCAGCCCTCGTGCTGTTTGGAAGGAGAAGTGCACCTTTCCCTTTGTATCTCTCATCAGCCTTCAGCCATCAGAACTTGCCCACTGGGCAGCTCTGCCCAGGCTGGTTACAGAACCTGGAAGTCCTGTTGCAGATTAATTAGTCAAGACTGCAGTGAGGCTTTACAGTTCAGTTCCACTTTTGTTTTGGACAAGATCTTGCTGTGTGGCCCGGGCTGGCCTCTAACTTTATTCTCCTGCCCCTGCCTCCCAGGTGCTGAGGTTAGAAGTGTGAACACCGCACCTACTTGGCCTTTTAAACAACTCAAGCAACATTAGAGCGCTTTTCTGTGTTGAACTTAAGAAGCAACTTGAGAATCTCATGATTCACTCACCACCTCTCTAGTAGAGGAATCTGGTTGCTTTTAATTTCTCTTGACTCTTCAGGGCAGCAGACTATCCTTTTGCTGGTAGACTGTAGAGGGGCCACTCCCAATCAGCCAGGCTACTCACTGGTTTATCAGCTTGGCAGTTGGGTCAGATGGAGCTAACTTAGGCTTTTGTGTGAAGGAGCCCTACGCAGCTGTACACTCAACAAACACTTTTATTATTTAAGTTTAAAACAGAAAAACCCGGCTCTTCCAAACCACCTGCATTTAACAGTGTGAAAGTGGTTGTAATGTCTTGGTGTTTATGTCTTACATTGTTACTTATATCTCATTAAAGGCTCTTGCTTGACTGATACCAGCAGGGAAGTCTGAGAGTAGGAGATACAGTGTGTAGACACAGGCAGAGCTGTATGTCTTTGTTCAATTTTTCATTCCTCTGTCTTTTAGGATGACTACTATGTCCGCACTTTTTCAGCTCTCCGTATACATCAGGGTATGGATTAAGCTTTTTCTATCTTAAACATTTGTTAACTCTTGTTCTTGTTTTTAATGAGCATGATTTTAGTTTACTTCTCTTTATTTCAGACTAGCCACAGCTATTTTGTTCACGACCTTGGCTTGCCAGCGTGGGGCTCATACTTGGTTTTTGCGTTCGCGACTGTGCTTTCAGGACTGATGTTGGGACTTGTAAGTACTCTGTTTCTAGAGTACTAAGAAAAATACTTGAAAATGTGATAGTATTGTTAATACTAGTTGTATTGCTTGTCGTACATTTAAATTTCTGCTTATTTTGCAGTTTATGATATTTGTGGCAGATTGCTTTTGTCCTTCAAAAAGGCGCAAACCACAGCAACAGCCTCCAAGTAAGTCGGCATATGTGCCTGCGTGTGCGGTACTGGGGCTGGTCTCCTGGCTGTGAATGCTAGGCAAGCACACACTGAGCTGCACCCCTACACAAGCCAACCGTTCAGCGGTTTTCATTTCTCTACATGCAGTCACAGGCTGGTCTCAGCCGGGTAGTAAATGTGGAATGGTGATCCTTGTCAGCTGTGTTTGCATAAAAGGAAAGTGAGAGATACGTATTTCATGTAAAATGATAGCTCTCGATCTAACATTGCTATAATCCAGAGAATGCTAATATTCATGTAGCTTGCAGATAACAGTGGTCTAATCAGTTTATTTGAAAATTTTACTATATCCATGGGTCCATTTTTTAAAAAGTTAAGTATTTCCATTTTTGATGTCATGCATTAGGATCGTGGCCACATTTGAAGGTTTCTTTGTATCTAGCTAATTTCTTAACTTTTTTTCCTGGTACAATAGTAGGGAAAACTGACTAATTGGTGTTTAGTTCACATAATTAGAAACATATATTGCTCCCTGCTTATATAATTCCCCACCACTGCTTCTAAATGAGGTCTGAATTGTTCAGGTCACTTTTGCTGTGCACTGGATTCTTCCCAGTTAATGTAAGGTGAACACAGAAGGCCATGGCTTGTCATGCTAGAGCTGAGGAAATTCTGGTGCATTCCACTGTATGAAGCTCGCTTCTTGACACTTGCTCCATTTTAGACATGTAATTTTGCTTGTGATAGACTGTCTTTTATAGCTACAAAGTTGTATACTGCTGAACAGCCAGCAGAATTGCGCTTGTTTTAGGTAGTACTATCCCCATCAGGTGTGTACTTTGAACTTAATTAGCATCTAGTCCTCTAAAAGTAGACATGGGCGTGTGAGATTTCTACATTTTATTGTTTGTAATTATGCCTCAGTAAATTACATAGGTGAGGATGGGGAAAAGGAATCCCAGTTTTGAGAAAGTATCTGGGCAAGAGTTCAGCTTTTATAAATGTCTGATTTTTGTTTCCCTGGGAGCCGAAACAGGACAATGCTGAAGTTTTAGTATATTTACAGACCAAAAAATTAACATCAGGTTGTTTCAAGATGGCCTTTTTAATGCAGGATTTTTTTTGTTTTGTTTTGTTTGTTTTTTGAGATAGGGTTTCTCTGTATTGTTTTGGAGCCTGTCCTGGAACTCGCTTGGCAGACCAGGCTTGGTCTCAAACTCACAGAGATCCGCCTGCCTCTGCCTCCCGAGTGCTGGGATTAAAGGCGTGCGCCACCACTGCCCGGCTAATGCAGGATATTTTATCACAGCCTTTTATGTTCATTGCATTGACATTGATTCATTAATTTTGGGTTAGTTTTTGAACACATAGGTAACTAGCATAAATTTGGTAAATGAATCTTTTTATAATATTTGCCTTATTATTTTTGGGAATCTGAACATGGCTTAAGAATCCTTGTATCTTGATTTTATTCTTAAGCAAATTTAGTACATTAACAAAAGCACATTTCTGATCTTTAAGAAAAACCCTCACCAGAATTTTCGCAACCTCTGAAAAAAGTGGAGGAGGAACAAGAGGCTGATGAAGAGGATGTTTCAGAAGAGGAAACAGAAAATATAGAGGGAGCAAGCAAAGACCCTCCTCAGAGTGGCATAAGACAGCGCTGTGTGGGCCCGTCATCGGCTGCAGATAAATCCTAAGTTTTACAGATGTTTTAATAGTATGGTTTTGACAAAACAGGAGATTGCTATCATTTCTCTGTTTTAAAGTGAACTGTGATTTGCTTGTACATACAGTCTAGATTGTCATTAGGTTGGACAGTTCATTCAGAAAATAAAGCAGTTAGGTGTAACAGTTTGAAATATGATTTAAGAATATTATGATGTTTTAAAGTTGTTTAATTTCAGAAGATCCTGGTGCCAAGCAGTAAGACTTGTGTTTATATTTAATGATCTGTTTCATGTGAGATTCAAAACTGCCTTTCTCAAGATTTGCATTACTGGGGTATTTAAGAACATTACTTTAGAGAGAAAGATTTCTCATTTCACATCATTTTTCTCAGTTTCACTGTGTGAAAAAAAGGAACATATTTCCCATAACTGGGAACGTTACCCGTTGTTACAGATGTGTCCTTCATTGATAACGCTGTGCTTAGGTAGAGTCCACAGCTTCCTCATAGGCTTTGGACTCTGCAGCTCACAGAACTACCTTCTTAGTAGTTTCATTTCTACACATTACATCTAGGATATGCTGCTCACTGCAGACATTTTTATAAGTTTATGGCATTGTGTTAATTCCTAAGGTTGATGGCCTGCTTTGGTCTCTTGTTCACTATATGAATTTTTTTTTAATTTGCCATGGGTTATATTTTTAAGTTCAATAAAATTAACAGTATCACTATTGTGTTTACTGTGGGTAAACAGTACTTTTCTATTGTTTTATGTTGATGTTTACTGAGGGAATCATCAAATTGAACTGTTTACTTGAAAATGTACAAATTTGGCTATACATTCCAGATTTTAAATTATTATTGTTGAGTGGTCTTGAAGTTTTCTTTGCTTTTCTCTTTTTAATGTGAAGGTGAAAATTGCTGATTTTTAAAATTTGATGTGGAAAAGCTTTGGTATTTTATATTTTGGAAATTCAAAGCTTAATTTGATGTAAAATGAAGTCTGTATTCTATTTGAGAAATATCTCCTACTATGTGTTTTTAGCATATCTGTCCTCTACAGGTTCTTGATGGATTTTATAGTCAGTATATTGCTTTGTGTTTGAAAATCGTAACATTGTTATGTTTTAAAGACAAATTTTGTATTGTATTGTTCTTGTCTGCTAGTACTGTGCATCTCACAAATGGGAACCAGCAAGATGGACTACATCATCTTCATCTTACAGCAAGGGAAGGGTGTTATGGGGGGGGCGGTCTTGATGTCCGGAAGGGGAAAGCAGACCACATGACTCGCAGAATGAGTCACCCAGCCTTTATGGACTAGTGGTTTCTGTGGCGCTCCCTCCCTTACGTGCTCTGTGAATTCCTTAGACTTGCCATGTTGTAATGTGCAGCAGCTTCCTTTCAGGCCCCTCCTTTATAATATTAAATGTTCTGCTGTCAGAGTTTGGGTATGTAGTTTGTGGTGGCTTAGTAAAACATTCTAAGCACAAAATAAATGTTTCTAAGCACTTCAGTAATGTGGGAGAGAAGTATTTCTGTTGATTTCAGACAATCTCGTGTTCCAGGCTGGCCAAGAGTGGCAGAACAAATGGTCATCCTGCCCCTACTGGCCGGGTAGGGTAGCAGGGTTACAGAAGTGCACTATTTCCAGTGCCCTCCTGCATGCCAGGCAAGCACTCCCAGCTGAGCTCAGTCACTCGCCCAGCAGTGATTAGTGGTTGCTAGGCCCATGTTTGAAAAGTATGTGTAACCACTTGCCATTCAGCCGTGCTCCAGGGTGGATAGACATGCCACTCCGTGTGAACCCAGAAGTCTTTTCTGAATCATTTCAGGAGAATAATACTCTATAATCAAACATTTTTGTTTTTAGCATCTCTCTTGTATATTTGACCTTGTCAGGTTTTTAATTAGAAAACGCTTTATTATAGAAAATTAAAATCCTGAATTAGGTGTTGGTGTTCTTAAAAGCATATCTAAGCAGTCTCTCAGATTGTCACAGTAGACAGCTGAAGAATTTTGGTTTGATGCCACCAGTTTACAGAACTACATGGATTAATTTGTGAATGGTTCTAGAATGAATATTGTTGTGCAGGTCTGCTAGAGAATTCTGGCCCATCACCATCTGTACCTCCACCAAAATGCTATGAAACTGGTTCCTACCGGAATATACAGTGTTCTGTGTAGTGATGACTGGAAAGAAAGACGCTTAGGGTTATCTAACAGCTACCTGCTGCCGTGCACATCATAGCTGTCAGAGCTTTGCTAAGCTTTCTCTTGTATCAATTTAGTCCTGGGACTACTGGGTAACATAGGCAAGCATCTTCCAAGAGAACAGTTTCGGGGCTGCGGTAGAAACAGGTAGAATGAACTCAAAATTGAGCAACCCATTATGGTTTTTGATTTTTGGTGGGTTTAGTTTGTTTGTTTTGTTTTGAATCTTAAATTCTCCATAGCAGCAAATGCCTTTCTGCCATTAGTTTGGTGTTGCAGTTGGCAGTAATGGTCCTTTCGAAAGTAGTTTTCTCGCCGGCTAGCCTTTTTCTTTTAATCGTGTTGTTAACTTCCACCAATTAAAAATGAAGTCTGTAGGATGGAGAGGTGGCTCAGTGGTTAGGAGCCTTGCTGAGGACCAACATAGGTATGTTTCAGCTCACAGCCGCCTGTAACTCCAGCTCCAGAGAATGCAGCACCTCTGCTCTCCCTGGGCCACTGCTCATGAACACATAACGAGAAATAAAGTGTCAAAAATCTTAAAGTGCGTTAAAACCTCAACATTATCAGATAACAAAACATAAACAACTTAAAGGCGTACTGAGAAAAACCTCGAGATGCCACAGAGGATGCTAACGGAGTGCGTCAGGCGCCAAAATGCAAACACTTAGGTCTTGGGTGCCAGTCTTCATATTGTTGAATTTCTCACTTGATGACTATGCAGGATGCTGGTAAAATGGCTTCCGTTTGCTCAGCCTGGCCCTGCTCAGCCTAGAGAGCGTGGAATCTACTGTCGTTTGCAATCTTGTGGTTTAGTTTTCTGCCTTGGTAACTGAAGTTGTGGGCATGTGGATGGTGAGGTGTTTATTGACCTTGGGTCTCGACTTCTCTTGTCCTCTTGCCTGTCACCCTTATTAGGCTGTCTACGGTAAGGAGGGCTCCTGAGAAATTGGGGCTTGCAGCCCCACAGTTCTACCTTACTGTGCTGAGGAATGGGGACCCAGTGCCTCATCTCACGTGTCATGGCAGCGGGCCTGGCTGCCACTAGGCTGCTCGCTCAGGGTGCGTTGAAGTCCATTTTCTGTTCTGCATAAACACTTGTTCTTCCAAATCTTTTTTGTATGTGTGTGCATGTGTGTGTGTGTCCTGAGGATCTCAAGTTACCCTCCATACACTAACCGTATTCATTGTGGCAGGCTCTCAATGGAACCCGGGGCTGTGGATATGAATACGCAGCAGGCACACTGAGGACCCTGGGTCTGCCTTGTGAGGTTGGGATTTCAGAAGCCTCCGTACCACCCAGTATTTCCGTGGCTTCTGGGGTGCCAACCTCCAGGTTTCACGCATGCGCGAAAGTGATTTAGTGGCTGTGCCAGCCCCCCAAGGCATAATTGTTTTGTAAGAATTGTTTTAACGAGTATGGGTGTTTTGCCTGCCTGCACGTCTATATGCCACATATGCATTGTTGCCCACAGAGGCCAGAAGAGAAGGTTTGAGAGCCACCGTGGGGGTACTGGGATTTGAAATGCCGCCCCCTGGACGAGTGTCCTTAGCCACTGCGCCATCTCTCCAGCCCCGAGATCACATACTTTTTAAGGTAAAATTTTTAGTTGAATGTCCTTCTAAGTATACATAGTCGTGTGTCAGGCAGGTTTTGTATTTATTTGAAACTTAACATTCCTAGGATTCTGATGCCATAAGAGTGAAAATACCTCAGTAGCAAAGTCCTTGATTCCTGAAACCCTTGTGATGTGGATTGCAGCGGCATCTTTTGTTAAAATATTTGGTCTTTTCCTACTTTCTGGTACAAGAACTCTAGGCTCTTTGGATCACTGGAAGTGAGTGGCGAGGGTGTGTAGGCGAAGGCTGAAGACCACCCTTGCTAGGATACGGGCCGATTTCTAGAGCAGCATAACACGTGACTAGAAGATAGAAACTCCTCCTTTACCGGTCATTGGGGAGAGGAGGTAAGACTGAAGTCATGTACCCTTTGGCCAGTGAGTTGGTCCAGGATCCCTCTGGAGCAGAACCGCCGCTAAAACCCTAAACAAGCCCAAGGAGGTGATGAGCCAGGGTGCTCAGAAGCCACGGAGACTGCTTCCCCTCCCATGTGCCTTATTCCATATTCCTCCTCCTTTTGATTGTCCACGAGGCGAATCCTTCAGAGTAAACCAGCAATAGTTAATGAACCATTTCCCCGAATTCTGTAAGCTTTCTAGCAAGTATCCAAACTGTTTTTGTAGCTGTTGCAAGGTTGGGAGGCCTGGACTTGTGATTAGCATCCTGAAGTGATGGCAGGAAGTCTATGGCATTAGCTTGTGGAGTGTGCACTGACTCTGGGCCAATAGTGTTAGAAGTAAGTGGTTTGGGGCCACAGAAAAGCAAATGTATGGCATAGACCCCCCCTTCCATTTGCCAGAGGTCTGATTATAGATGGTGCCATTTTCCTATTCACCCCTTACTGTGGTTCTTTGGCTTGAGCTGCAGGCTTCACTGCTGGTCATGTGATCCATCCCCACCCACACTGCTGTGGATGTCATGTGATCGTATGTCAGGGTCCCCCGACTGTTGTCTCTGATGTAATGCTAGGTTTTCCCATTCTTCTAATAGGTGCGTCTGCTTAATGGCATGCTCACACAAGAGTTGCCCAGTGGCGTTCACTTGAGGCTGACTGTCTGATCCCCTGTAACAGACAGATGTCTGGAGACGGCTCTCGATCAGAACCTGTGGTCTTCTAAGCTGAAAGACAGGAATACAAGGTGTAATCCCCAGCAGACATCAGCACTACTGGGCTGAGTCTGCAGCACCAGCCACAGGATTGTTAATGACATCACCTCAGTTTTTGTTTTCTATTGTTTGAAGCAATGTGGCATATAGCCCAGGCTGATCTACACCTTGTAATCCTCCTGCCTCCACCTCCCCAGTGCTGGGATTGCAGGCATTCATCACCGTGACCATATAAATCATCTACTTTTGTGACTTGTTAGTGTCCAAGATGTTTTATTTATTTATTTATTTAGGTTTGGGGGGAAAATTTTCTCTCTGTGTAGCCCTGACTGTCCTGGTACTCGCTCTGTAGACCAGACTGGCCTTGAACTCACAGAGAGCCTCTTGCCTCTGCCTCCTGAGTGCTGGGATTAAAGGCGTGCACCACCACCGCCCAGCTCTGATATTTTTCATAACTAAACTTCATTGTAAATAACTCACAAATTTAGAATATATATATAATGAGATTGACCAGACCCAGTCTATGAAGCTTCATACTGGATTTTACACTTTCCCTGTCAATTACATTTGTATGCACTTTCCAATAAAAAAAAGAAAAAAGAAAAATCCATGTCGAAGTTAAAACTAGAAACAATTAGCATTATGTCCTCTTTCATGGCATGTGTCTATTACCTGGGTGTTCTGGTCCAGGAAATGAAGCATACAGTGCCAAGATTATTAATTAGGTGGCCGTGAAGTAAAGAGGGGTGATACATTTTCCCTGTCAAACTGGATACCACGGGATGACCCTTAAAATTGTCCTCTGTTCTCCAGCTCTCACGTTCTGGGTGTAAGCTCAAACCTGAAAGCTTGCACTGAAGGTCTGGAAACATACATTGAAAGAGACAGGTGTCTCTTTTTCAAGATAAGATGATAGGGGATTTTAGATTCCTAGTTACCTTACGCTGTTACAAATATCTGACAACCAGAACCCAAGGGAGGAGGGATTTATTTAGGTTTGTGGTTTTATGGTAGTGGGAGCATCTTCATGTCATAGCACATAGAAAGTGGAGAAAGGAATAGGCAGAGTGCCGGGCATAACCTTCAAAAGCACATGGTTGCTGGGAATTGAACTCAGGACCTTTGGAAGAACAGTCAGTGTTCTTAACCGCTGAGCCATCTCTCCAGCCCCTCCCTATACTTCTTGAAGAGATTCTCAAATGTCTATTCATGGTTTTAGAGCAATATTTAAAAAATTACCCAGATTGTTTGGGTGTGTCGAACGTAGGGGTTTTTCAAGTTATCCCTCTTACTAGAGTATCTGGGGCAGACAAAAGTACTCTTTTGATATAATGGGTTCATACTTACAAAAGCTTCTTTCCTTTTAATCTAGTATTCTGTGAACACTGAATATACAAAGCTCTTATTGTAGAAGAGTACTCTTCCATTACATTAGGGAATCTGTACTCTGAAGCATAAGGATAATAATGTCACAAACACAGAATGGGTTTAAACTTAACTGTTGAGTCCTGAAATTAAATACGGCTCTCCCTTTGACAAGCCAACATTACTAACTCAGCTAAGCATTTGTGTTCT